CGATGTAAAATTGCATTCCGAATTCAACACAACTATTTTCAGATCCAACACAGCTAAAACAGCGAATCCGGGCTAAAATTACTTTCACAATATTTTCAAAAAAAAGTAGTATTTTCGGCTAAAGTCCCAGGTTTTAATTGGTACCCCTCCAAAAATTGTACCGTTCGATTCAGCGCAAAATTCTACATCCAACACAGCGAAAATGAAATTCAACACAACCCTATAGGCGAATTCGGCTGGAAAAACTCGAATCTTGTGCTAACTTCCCTAACGTCATAAATCATTTGATAAATATATGGTAGATAGTTAGATTGAAGACTTCCTTGAAGGTTGCACTTGTAAGTACGATTTCATTAATACGTGTGAGTTTGATATAATGTACAAAACAAAAATTAGTTGTTTCATTTGAATTGATCTCAATGAAATTGAATAATGCAAGATATGGAATAAATAAGATCATCGATAAAAGATCTCTGATATAAAGGCTTTTGTCTAATTCTATGTTCTTTTTCATAGGTTACTTTATTATCTTAAAATGATATTAATCCGACGTTTAAAATTAATTGGACGTTTATTCTCAACTATGTTTCTCTGTATATTTTTTTATTTCATGTTACTTCATCGTGAATATTCCGATAATCAATCTTCTTATTCTTTGACAACTATGAATTCTGATGGGTATTGTCATTTTAAACCCTCAACTGATCAATTTATTCTTAAATATAAACCATATTCGTTGACTGCGAATCAATCCAATGTGACGCGTGCCATACCAACAATTGAACGAATACGTAATCTCTTAGAACTAATTCGTTCAAAAGAGGATACATATCAACCACTACTACAAAATTTTGACGTATTCAGTATGATAAATCCGGATATATCATTAAAAGCATATACCGATGAAAGTAATATCGATGAAATAAAAACATTATATAATCGTTATATTAAATTAATGCCAGATAATAAAACAATACATGTTGATCACACAATGATAGATTATTTAAAACAAATATCAAGTTATTTATCAGATGGATTAGAAAATAATAGAACAAATAGAGTAAATATTGAGGAAGAACCTT